AGATGGTGCCAAGGGGTGTTGGTACGTTGGGACGCTATATGTCAGCAGAGTTTTGATGCCCTGAAAGCTAGACTCACCATTGCCCCAGTCCTGGCCTATGCAGATTTCTCATTGCCCTTCATATTGGAGGTGGATGCAAGTTACGACAGTTTGGGCACTGTTCTGTCACAACAGCAAGAGGGTAAAGTGTGGCCTGTGGCCTATGCTAGCAGAGGTCTAAGACCTCCTGAGCGAAACAGGCTAAACTACAGTTCTATGAAACTGGAGTTTGTAGCGCTTAAATGGGCGATGACAGAGACATTTTGGGACTACCTGTTGGGCCAGAAGTGTGTTGTGTTTACTGATAATAATCCTCTAAATAATTTGTCCAGTGCTAAACTAGGGGCTACCAAGCAGCCTTTGGCAGCCCAGCTAGCTACCTTTGACTTCAAAATTTGTTACAAGTCTGGCAGAAGTAATAAGAATGCTGATTCTTTGTCCCGTCAGCGGCAGGCTACGCACGCAATTGGCCTCTTTGCTCTGGGGACCTCCCTGCCCAGACCGTTGGTGGAAGCCTGGCAGCCAGATGAAGCTGGGGTGGTTCAAGGGGCTATTAGCGTTCTGTCCCAGTGTAATCAGTGGGACATGAAGAAGCTTCAAGAGACAGACCCAGTTATTCAGGAAGTCACTCCTTTCCTTCAGAGGAAACGGCGGCCGAGCTTTTATGAGCGTCAGCAGTTTTCATGGCCGTCGGGGGTGCTGTTACGCCAATGGGACCGATTGGTGGAACATGATGGTGTGTTGTATCGCCAGCTATTCCGCCCGGACGGGTGGGGTGGGGTGGCGTGGGGGGGTTGGGGTGGGAGGTGCTGCAGCTGGTTCTGCCTGCGGCAGTGGTGGAGGAGGTCTTGACTAGTGTGCATCAGGACCATGGCCACCAGGGAGTGGAGAGGACCTTGGCACTGTTGCGCTCTCGCTGTTATTGGCCCCAGATGGGTTCAGAGGTGGCCCATTGGTGTCAATCCTGTGAGAGGTGTCAAGTGGCTAAAGAGGTGTGGTCCCACTCTCGTCCATTGATGGGCACTTGTTGGCATCACGGCCTAACGAAGTGGTGGCATTGAATTTCACCCTCCTGGAGCCCAGTCAGGATGGATATGAAAGTGTCTTGGTGTTAACTGACATTTTCACAAAGTACACCCTGGCCGTCCCCACCCGGGATCAATGCGCCCAGATGGTGGTTCAGGTCCTGGTGGAAGAGTGGTTTTGTAAGTTTGGTGTTCCAGTTAGAATCCATACTGATCAGGGCCGTAGCTTTGAGAGTTTACTCATTAAGCAGCTTTGTAGCCCGTACGGGGTGGAAAAGTCACACACTACCCCATATCATCCAGCAGGCAACGGGCAGTGCAAACGTTTTAATCGTACATTGCGCAACCTATTGAGGACGTTGCCTGCCACCAGGAAACGTGACTGGAGCTCTTGTTTGCCTCACCTTCTGTACTGCTACAACACGACCCCGCACCAATCTACTGGGGAATCGCCTTATTTCCTTATGTTTGGACGTGAACCTAGATTGCCAGTGGATTTTTTGCTGGGGCGTGTTGAGAGCTCTGTGGGGGGCTCGATTGCTGACTGGGTCCAAGAGCATCAGGCTCGGCTGCAAATGGCCTTTGATTGTGTTGGGAAGCGTTTGGATCTCGCAGCAGCTCAGAGGAAATGGCTTTATGACCAGCGTGCTTGTGATGCGCCCCTAGTCGAGGGGCAGCTGGTGTTGGTGCGTGATTTTGGTGCTAAGGGGCGTCATAAGATGAGGGATTCCTAGTGCTCCACTGTGTATAAGGTCCACCAGGCGGCGTTGTGTATACTGTCGCAACGAGACAAACAAGTTCATCGGTCCTTGCTGAAGGCTGCTGTGGCTATGGGGCCCTTCGAGAGCCCGAGTGTGGCCCCAAAGGCTGATCCCTGTTCTGGGTCTGATTCATCTGATGAGGATTTGTGGGCTGTGGAGGTGGCCTTTTGTCATCCGGGCCCTGCTGTTGCGGCCAGGCCGCCGGGAGGTTTGCCATCAGATATGAATTTGGCCTGTGGTGACACCCTGGGTGCGCCGGGGGATCCCAGTGCTCGCCCCATGGCCTCCGCTCCTGTCCAGCATTTGCCCTGTCGTATGCCCATTCAGAGGACTACCAGGGTCATGGCTGGTAAGCACACTAACGTCCATCATCTTCCTAGGTCGGCTATTCGGTCAGTTCAGGTGTCCCCATGTCCTGGGGCCAGAGCCTTGGCCAGTAGCTGCTTTCTTCCGGCCTTGGTGTTGATTGGGGGCTCGCCGGGACGGCAAGTTTATAAGTGGGGGTGGAATGTGGCAAGTGAGGTTGTCAGTTGGCCTTTTTGTTTCTGGTGTCGGCACAGCTGCACAGTTTTTGGATGATTGACTCGGGGTCAATCAGGGAGCAATAGGAGTGTTTAAAAGTCACTTGTGCTGTGTGACAGGAGAATCATTTGTCTGTTCATTGAGGAGATCGGGTTTGGCCCCTTGGAGGAGTGGGGGCATGACGTGCTGCTCGTTGTGCAGTATAGGCTCTGAAGAAGTATTGGTTCTCCCCATTTGGGGGTGAGGAGTTGAGAGGCACAGCGTCGGCGTGGAGAGAACTAACACTCAGCCATCGCGCATCTCGTCGAACTCTGGAGGGTTGCTGCTTTGCCGTGATTTCTGGGTTGTATCCCGAGTTAATGAGACGAAGGTGTGCATCTACACAGCCCCGTTTACAAACGGTCTTTGTGGAGGAGGTGACATCCCAGGCACGCAGTTTGGGGACAAGCTCAGCCGATGGTACGGTGACTAACTACGAAGGGAGCCACAGGTTAATCCCTCCGTCCCAACCCTGCTCTCGGGACATATGAACTGAAAGGCTGAATGGGCCAGCGTTTCCCGGAGGGCGAGGAAGTTTAATGGTTTAAATGCATGTGGATGGATAATTTGTAAGAGTTTGGTGTGTGGGTGTGTGTGTGTGTGTGTGTGTGTGTGCGTGAGTGTGTGCGTGCGGGTGTGTTCGTGTGAGCGTGGAGGGAAAGACAATGAGTGTGTGGTGTCCTTTGTTTTGTGTGTTCTACCAGTTGGAGACGGGCTGTGCCTGTTATGCTGAGCTGTGGAGACGTAGTCGTCAGCACGGAGTGGTTGTGCGTGTGTTCGCATGGTGAAGGGGGTCGCTGGTTCGCGATGGGTCTGCCCCTGTCTCCAACAGGTCTCCAACTGCAGTTATAGCCTGCTCGCGGCTGGTGATTTGTGTTTCCCTATTTTATGTTATTTACTGTGACACTTTGTTATAAACCTGAGTCCTTTATTACATTTCCACAACTCCAATTTCCTTAGGCAATAACGAACCTGCGTGCTTTGGTAGTATAGCACTTTGTCACACTTGCATTCATTTTTTCGTTCTTCCGAGGACCCATGGTGCGGAAGTGACCTGGGCTCCCGATAGCACAGAGGTCTGTGGGACAGGGGGCGTGCTTGGCAAAAAATAAAAAGTAAAGAGACGTATCGCTTACATTATATCACAGTACATTATAAGATAATCACTTTTCCGGATTTCTGACAAATCATACATAATTTCTGAAAGGGGAAAACTCCGGAAAGATACTTTAACTTTTAAACAGCAATAACTCTCTTTGGTCGTGGCAGCATTCAAACAAGTGCTCATCAGACTTTCAAAACCTAAACTTCAAACAGACAAACAAGTAATCATATATATAAAAATGCTTATAACCAGTTGGGTCCCCTTCCTTAATACGTAGAAGTAGAGCCACAGGTTAATAGAATTTTTCTGGTCTCATTTTTTTTAGCTGTATTTACTCCTGATGAATGGATGAAAGCTAAATTTAACGTCTAGTAACGTGTGCACTGAATGCATGAGATGTGTTTGCAATTTTCCATCGAGCGTTGGAACATTTTAAGTTATTTGATTGCCATGCCGAACAGTTTCTGTTGATTAAAGCTGAAATCAAACAGGTTTTCCATAATCGGCCCAAATTGCGCTTAATCAAAAAAAAAAGTGATTTTTTTTCTGAACTTGCATTGGTAGGTGCAGCTCATGTTATAAACGTTTAACCTAAAACCTGTTTTTTGGTCATGCTAGAACTGTCGTCTTATATTTGAACCAGTGCAATAGTACACTAGAGCCAGATGGAGGGGTTGCTCTGTGCGGCTGGTTTTTAGGAGAGGGTGGGGGCTGATCTGGGGTTATGCTGGGAGGTGTGAGGTGACGAGTTTGCGTTGGAGACTAACCTTTCTTGCAGAGTCGTTGCTGCCACACTCTCCCTTATCGTACCACCATTTGTTTTTCAGTTTGTCTAAGATGGCTTGCTCACTGAGCTTCAACACCGCTAGGTTTACGGGGATTCTTCCAACAGTAAGGGAATAACATAAATAACATATATAAAATGTTATTTTATGCTATTAGAACAGAAACAGAGCAGCAAATGTATCCACACAAACAACGTTCGGCTTGGCTTGCTTTCACATGTAGAAACGCAAAAGAAAAACACATCCCACACACCCACACACACACACACACACACACGTATGTAGCACAAGCAGCATTAGAAATACCAGAATCAAAGTGATATGCTTTAATACTCCATCTAGCTTGGCTGACCTGCTGTCTAAGGCAGTAGATGTGTATTACTATATCACCTTGGGTAACCGGCACACTGCTTTCTCTCAGCTATGCAACTCAAGGTCAATTTAACTTAATATGAAAAGAAAAGGTTAAAAATAACCAGTTTGATGATGTGATCTAAAAACCGAAAACGTAAGAATTTAGTCAAGTTTGTTTTGTTCTACATGGATGTCAAATTCAACCCAGAGCCAAAAGAGTGGCCCTGCTCTTCGAGTCCTCTTCCCCAAACGGTGAAGAGGAGGAGTGTTGCCGGAGAGGTAATGTGGCGTGGACTTGCCGGTTACCCCCCCCCCCCCCCCCCCCCCCCGCCCCCATTATACCCACAGGGTTTATCAAACTGGCTCTGACCTTGGAGTCCCCGCCCCCGCTGCCGCACTCTCCCTTGTCGTACCACCACTTGTTTTTCAATTTGTCCAAGAGGCCCTGCTCGTTCAGTTTTAACACTGCCAGGTTTACTGGGTTTCTTGAAAATAATACGAAACGATAATAGCCATTAGGAGACAAGTCTACGGAACTGAAATCACATGATTGGTCGCATGGTGGTGATTATGACATTACTGATTTGGTATCAGGAACTCTCCTGATACAAAGCAGGAGCGCTGGCTCGGTGGATGTACATGTTAGTGGTGCAGGTTTTACCAAGCAGGGGCCCCAGAGAGAGGCAGAGCATCTATATGGAGATGCCTTGGATGTGGGAGTCTGTCTACAGATGGTAATTTCCTTTCAGATTCATCAGCCTATGCGTTACTATGGCAACTAATCTATCAATATTTAGCTGTAACAGCAGAGACCCACGCTGCCAGAGAACCGCTTTAGCAGCCACTTTACTTCCTAAGTTTATCCTGCAAATAGACTGAAAAGAAATCAAACTCTAGACAGTCATTCAACGCATCCCCCCACTGCTCCGCCTCTCGCTGGTTAAAGTGTCTGAATGTGTTTCCTGTAGCTGACTGGCTGCAGACAAAGATTCTCTCCTCCATCCACAATGCACAAGAAAGGCAGAATTGGGATTAAATGAAAGTCAGAATTCCAAACGGGCACCAGTTCTGTGCTGCGAGCATTGGTACGAAGACATTCTGCTTTTCTCAGCAGCAGCAACAGAAGCGTCTTTATCCCCACACCATAGCTGCAGGAATCACAGTTTCCCTCACGGCTGGTAAAACCTCTGATTTCTTTCTCAGCCCAGTTGGACCGGGACAAAAAGAAAGAAGTCAAAGTGTGCAAACATGGATGGTCTTGACGGGTCACTGGTTAGTTTGGGTTGTTGGTTTGAGGTGAGCAGATGTAACAAAAGACTGCGGACTGTTGGTGGGATGGAGGAAGCAGTCATGAAGGCGATGGCAGGGGATGAATCGAGCAGGAAACACCACATTTGCACAAAGGACAAAACAAATCGAACTTCTGATCTTTGAAGACATTCCTGTAAAATGACGGCATTCCAAAATCTTTATTTACAAAATATAATGTTCAATCAGGCCTGCACGTAGAAAAAGAGCAATTGAGGTTTTAACTCATCTAAACCAAAAAAAAAAAGGCAGGGTATGAGATTCTGACTGTATGACAACCTTGAGAAATGATACTTCTCATGCCAACGTATGCAAAAAAAAAATTATAATTGTCTTAAATCATATTAATCACTGATCTTTAACTTTTTTATTCAATCACAAAGCAATGATAATAAATGTAATCTATGAAGGTCAAGGTCAACTTTATTTATATAGCACATTTACAGTCACGCAGGCAACCCCAGAGTGCTGAACAAGGGTAAAAATGAATAAATAAAATAAAAAATAAATACAATCAAGAACAACTTGCGGTTAAAATCAAGGTAAAATTTAGTAAAAATTTATTTCGTGCTAAAAGAGTATAAGATAAAAACACAAGTCAAATAAAAACAGAGGTTAACCACTCAAGTCAACCTGCATTAAAAGCCAGATCAAACAAGACTGTTTTAAGTAATCCTTTAAAAGCTCGGTTTTGTGTGGTTCTTAGATTCACAGGAAGGCTGTTCCACGGCCTAGGACCAGGCATAGAGAAAGCCCTGTCTCCCCAAGGTTTTACTCCTCGAGTGAATGAACTCATCAGAGACATGCGGGGTGAACAAACATCTCAGCTCTGAAGCCGATCTTCATCCGCGTACGTCACACGTCACGTGATCAGGTAGCAGAACATCCATGTGTTAGGAGATCGTTTTGGGCCGCTGCTGTAAAAAAAGTGAGGCGCGAACCGGAAAAGCTTCTGCCGATCACAATTCAACAACGGATTATGAAAGAGCGGATAACGCTCGAAACGTGCGGATTCCTCCTGATGTAAGAGGTGAGTCTCCGCTTTGTTTTGGTTGTTTTGGTGTCGACATCATCCTAGCGTGAAAAGTTCTGTGACTCTTAAAAAAACTGTAAAAATGCTGAAAAACGCCGCAGCTGGCAGTGAATGAGTTAATAGAGAAAACAAACAAACAAACAAACAAACCAAGTAACAAACAGATAAAAGGACAAAATCACAGCTTCTAGTGTCTCTTTAAAAGACCGGGAAAGTTACGACATGTTAAAGGGACACTAGGTGGCTTTGCTTGCTTTTAGCACCCCTTACCCCCAAATTCCACTATCCGCTCCGCTCCGCCCCCGCCTTCCCCAGCCGCTCGCTTCCGAACTCAATTTTTACTGGTCCCCGCTCTACAACGGCTCCGCTCCAGTGCGGAGACCTGAGGTGCGCAAACAAGCATGCGCGGGATTTTTCGAGATCTTGCGATACAGTCCGAGCAATAAACGCGGAAGTTAGATCCAAACACCCGTTGTGTGGGAGAAGCATCGGCATGAACTGTTTAATCTGCCCATCATTTGTGTTGAGAGATCAGCAGTGTTTGGATCAACAAAGTGTGTCTACTTTGATAGTGGAAACTGTATTTATGGCTTACTTTTGTGCATTTAAAGTTCAGCCGCCATTGATAGTTGTTAAAAGTTATTAAACCTGTGCATATGAAACAAAAAACGCCTTTTGTTTATCGATTTATTGTGAAATAACGGAAGTTGTGCTTGCTCTCTTTCCTGTTGGGCGGTTGTGATTTCTGTCCATGTACTGCGGAGGTGCTCCGGCGTCCGGCGAAAATAGAATCTATCCTATTTTTGCCGGACGGCGGAACGGCGGGCGGCGCACTGCGCCGCAAGGCCGCAGTAGTGGAACGGCTCTGATTGACTACAACGGGACCATTTTTGCTGCGGAGTTCGTGCCGGAGCGGAGGTAGTGGAATTTTGGGGTTAGTGTCGGTTATTAACTTACTGCGGTTGTACCGAAAATGAAACGCATCTTCTCACTGTGCGTTTGTGTTTTTAACACCTTCATGTAACTGCTGAAATGTCTCCTCAGCCTTTAGTATCTAGACGAGCGATTCATCACTAAAACAAACAGCTGTGTTCACAATCTTTAACATGCAGGGTTCGTACTGGAAAACCCACCATGTCAGCTCCACTCCACTCCACAGCTCTCCCCACAGCAAGAACTGGACCAGCACTCTGAAGTTGCAAGTGTGTTTTTCTGGCCACAGAGGGCGTTGGGGGTCTGAGTGACTTTTCATTAACCATGTAAAGGGTCAATTTAGCACCTACTGGCTCAAGAAAATGATTTAAAAACATGAAAAAGGTGCACAGTATGCCTTTTTCCGACCCTTGCCTAGACGAGAAGGTTTTTAACACATACATGTGTATCGGTCTGCACAAGAAGGTTATTTAATAGCATATTGCAGGCGTGATTGAACCCAAGTGTTCCAGTTCAAAGGTTGGTCATTCATACATGTCATCTAGAAGATGTCATCACTCAAAATGAACACACATTAACAGCACTTCTTATGAATGTTTGTTAGCTGTTAATGAGTCTCAGCGTGCAACATCTGTGAAGGACAAAAGGAGCAAACAGACAGTAATATACATCGCTGAATGAGAAATGAATACAGAGGGAGAGGCAGATCATCTGAGGCATCCTCAGCACTGATGCAGATGTGGAGCAATCACTCCTCTGCTGTAAATCGCTGCTGCTAATGCAGCACGTTTCTGATTCATACAAGAATAAAAAAAATAATCCAATTTGTATAAAATGTAAAAAGGAACGTCTGATAAAAGGTTAAGAAACATTTCCAGTTCGTACCCTGACCCCTGGCTCTCAACCAAAGTCCGAGTGAATCTTCGGGGAGATTGAATGAAATCCTTCAGTGTGGCTCCTTTCATTGAAATGAATGAGGCCTATTAGGGCCAGACTAAAGGCGTCAGAAGCCACCTGCATCTGCGCTCTCTCTGTGTGGTTGCAGGAGAAATAGAAACGGGGAGTTGGTTAAGGTGTGAATGTGATGTGGAACGTCAGCTGCTGCTAGTCAATGGCAGGAGGAAATACGGGAACAACTGTTAGCTGTTACATCCTTTTTTTAAGGTGAAAAATCAAAACGCAGAGTTTACATTCAAGGCGTGAGCTCTGGCTTCAGTCAAAAAGTAGCCGCGTGGGATGTTGTTTCATTAAAATGTTGTCAAATTTTCCCAATTCCCACCTCAGCTAGTGCTCACAGCTCTGCTCGGAGCATGCAGACAAACAAAAACGGCCTTCAGTCTGACGAATGACCAGGATGTTCATGTGTAATGCGTGAAAGTTGCAAACACAATAGAAACAAAAGTTTGTTGATGACACAGCAAATCATCAAATCAGGGCAGGATCCTGCCACATATTCATGGTTAATGAAATGAATAAATACATGAAAAGATTAACCGCATTTCAAGTTCAGACGCGAGCAGATGCTGTGAAACAAAAGCTGCATGGGTGAATGAGCAGTGGACAGTTCATGCACAAGCATTGCAATAAAGGCGTTTATTCAGCCTTGCTGCAGTAGAGGCCTTTTACCTGAGGTGGGAGCCCTTAGGAGTGGCAATTCCATAACCTTTGGAGTCCAGGTTTCCCCCCACCTTCATCGTGTCGCAGGGTTTCCTCTGCTCGATGTACTCATTCATTGTGGATTCCAGCAGGTAGGCATACTTCCCCTTGGACTTCCTAACTCTCATCTTGCCTTCATCCGTCGTTTTGACAAACACGGACGGGTCGGCCGATTTCATGTACGACCACATCTTCTCAAACACAGCGATTTTTGACCTCTGATGGGCAGAATAAGACAAAGCAAGTAAGATGGGTCAACCTAGTCAACACACTCAAATGAACAATGGGTCAATAATTTTTTTAATGAAAACTAATTCAACACAAATATTTGATTTTAGATCAAGATGAAGTATAATCAGAGTGCTGCAATGAAAAAAAAAATTTGCTTTTCATCCAGAAAATAGTGGTTACAGAGATTGTGAGCCAGGTTAAAGTCATGTTATACATTTTATTACTTTTCATTAGGGATACACAACACACCATTATCAATATTAGTATTGGCACCTTTTAACATATCAGAACCATGCCCTTATTTAAAAAGGGGGACCGCAGGGTGTGTTCCAGCTACAGGGGCATCACACTCCTGAGCCTTCCTGGTAAGGTCTATTCAGGGGTTCTGGAGAGGAGGGTCCGTTGGATTGTTGAACCTCAGATTCAGGAGGAGCAATGTGGTTTTCGTCCTGGCCGTGGAACACTAGACCAGCTCTATACCCTTAGGGGGGTCCTGGAGGGTGCGTGGGAATTTGCCCAACCAGTCTACATGTGTTTTGCGGATTTGGAGAAGGTGTTTGACCGCGTCCCTCTGGGGACCCTGTGGGGCCCTGTGGGGGTACTCTGGGAGTATGGGGTACCAGTTCCTCTGATATGGGCTGTTAGGTCCCTGTATGACCCGTGTCAGAGCTTGGTCCGCATTGCCGGCAGTAAGTCGGGCTCGTTCCCAGTGAGCGTTGGACTCCGCCAAGGCTGCCCTTTGTCACCGATTCTGTTCATAACCTTTATGGACAGGATTTCTAGGAGCAGCCAAGGTGTGGAGGGCATCCGTTTTGGTGGCCTGAGGATCAGGTCTCTGCTTTTTGCAGATGATGTGGTCCTGTTGACTTCATCAGAACGTGATCTTCAGCTTTCGCTGGAGCTGTTCGCAGCAGAGTGTGAAGCAGCTGGGATGAGAATCAGCTCCTCTAAATCTGAGACCATGGTCTTGATTCGGAAAAGGGTAAAATGCCTTCTCCGGGTCAAGGATGAGGTCCTGCCTCAAGTATCCCGGGGTCTTGTTCACAAGTGAGGGAAAACCGGAGCGTGAGATCGATAGGCAGATTGGTACTGCATCTGCAGTGATGCGGGCGTTGTACCGGTCTATCATGGTGAAGAGAGAGCTGAGTCAGAAGGCGAACCTCTCAAATAACCGGTCGATCTACGTTCCTACCCTCACCTATGGTCATGAGCTTTGGGTAGTGACCGAAAGAACGAGATCGCGGATACAAGCGGCCGAAATTAGTTTTCTCCGCATCGAGGAGCCAGCTGAGGTGGCTTGGGCATCTGATCAGGAGGCCTCCTGGACGCCACCCTGGTGAGGTTTTCTGGGCACGTCGAACCGGGAGGAGACCTAAAGGTAGACCCAGGACTTGTTGGAGAGACTATGTCTCTCGGCTGGCCAGGGAACGCCTAGAGATTTCCCCCTGAAGAGCTGGCGCAAGTGGCTGGGGGAGAGAGAAGTCTGGGCCTATTGGCTTAGGCTGCTGTCCCCATGACCCGACTCCGGATAAGCGGAAGAACATGGATGGATGGATGGATGGATGGATGGATGGATGGATGGAGAACCAGTCAGATGAGTTAAACTGGGCTGTAATTAACAACAAATGTTTTATTTTCATCTTGTTGTCATATATAACTTTTAGGAGGGGTGTTAATCATGTGATATTTGTTTGCTCGTGTGACATTGATATGAATGCAATACAAACTGAAGCAGGGGAGCAACGTAGGCGCTGTGGTTAATTTTAGGCAGTGTCTAAAGAGTAGGGAGATATGTGTAGAACAGGGGTCACACACCTGGTGTTGTTCCCAAGAACCCTATAAGATGCTGTCAGGCCTGTTTTAAAGATAAAACAATTCACTGCTCAGCTAAAATATTGGTAACGCTTCCTTTTACAGTCCTCTAATTACTAAGTACCTACATGGTAATTACATAGTAAGTTAAAGTGTATTATTGTGTGATTAAAGTGTATGATTGTAATAAAGTGTAGTTATTGTGCAAAGCAGTATTTACTGGGAATGATTAATAAAAATAAAAACTAGAAATGAACTGATGTTACATGGTAATAACGGTTTAAAAACTCAGAAACAATTATACACTTTAACTTACTATGTAATTACCATGCAAGTACTTAGTAATTAGGGAACTGTAAAGGGAAGCATTACCAAAATATTAATGCGTGCTGCAATTTTTTAAAAATAGCACTTAATGCCACCAAAACATATGGTGGCTGCTTACTGAATTGTGGAATCTACAGAGGAATAAGGCTAATGACTCACACAATGAAGATCTGGGAGAAAGGGATGGAAGTTAGGCTGAGGTCAGAAGTCAGCCGTTGGGAGAAGCAGCGTGATTTGATGCCAATAAAGAGAGAGACTACTGAAAATGCTATTTTTGCATTAAGGATGCTGATGGAGAAGTACAGAGAAAAGCCAGAAGGAGATACATTGTGTCTTTATTAGGGATGGGTACCTTTGACATTTGAATCGATCCGTTACTAATTCCCGGTACCTACGAATCGATACCGGTACTTAACGGTACCAATTTTCGATACTTTTGAGTTTTTAATATTTTTAATTCTCTTTTATAATTAAATATATATTTTTCTCAATATATAACCATATTTGATAAATATCACGATAAATAACATACAACTGTTTGTATTTTAACATCGTCCTTGTAGTTTTATAAGCTGATAATTAAACTGAAGCAAACATCTTTACTGTGAACTAAATTTACTGCGTATCTTCATTCCTTTTGCAATCTTTTTTCATTTGAATTTTTCCTACTGGGAAGTTAGAATTTCCAAGGAGAAAGCGAACGCACCATTAGATGATAACAATGGTGGCAATGGAAGCTAACATATCAAGCTAACGTTATCTTAAACAGTTTATTTAGCTGCTGGAGCAGATTAAAACGATGATGCCTCACACTTAGATTGTTGTCACTGGTTTCATCTTCACCCAATCACCCGTCGCATTTAGTAAAGTGAAGCCAAACTTTAGAGTGCGTTCATGTTCTTCTAGTCAGAATTTCGGAGTTCCGAGGAGAAAGAGAACGCACCATTAGTGGAACGGAAGCTAACAAATCAAGCTAACGTTATCTTAAACATTTTATTTACCTACCGGAGCAGATTAAGATGAGGATGTCTCACTTAGATCGTTGTCGCTGGTTTCATCATCACCCAGTTACCCATCACATTTAGTGAAGTGGACCCAAGCTTTAGCGTGCGTTCTTTCTACCATGCTGCTCTGTTTACAACTCGCTCGCAGCGACCGATGACATAATGCTCTTGCGCATGCGCAGCTGTCTAGGCAAGTTCTCGTTGTGAAGGACGGGTACCGAAACGAGGCACCGTTTCAAATGAAGTGAATCGGTGCATGGTCGGTACTGTGGAATTCGGTCGGTACCTTAAAAAGTACCGAATTCGGTACCCATCCCTAGTTATAGATAGAGAAGAGCTGTGGCGCATGAGGAGGTCTGGAGTGGCAGAGAAGTATGTTAGAGTGCTGCAGAACATGCATGAGAGCTATGAGACAGCAGTGAGGTGTGCTGCAGGAGTGACAAAGGAGTTGAAGGTAGGACTGCATCAAGGATCGACTCTAAGACCCTCCTTGTTTTCTTTGGTGATGGGCAAGCTGAAAAATGATGTTAGACATGAGTTTCCATGGACTTTGACGTTTGCAGATGGCCGTGATCTGCAGTGAGAGCAGGGCGGAGGTGGAGGAAAAGCTAGAGAGGTGGTGTTGGAAAAGAGAGAAATGAAGATCAGACAAAGAGAGACAGAAAACCTGTTTGTAAATGAGGACACAAGTGGAAGGTGATGTTACTGGGAGGAGAAGCAAAGAAGGTAGAGGACTTTAGGGACTCCGGGTCTGCAGTCCAAAGCAAAGGAGAGCGTGAAAAGGAGGTGAAGAAGCATGTGCAGCCAGTTGGAATGGGTGGAGAAAAGGTGTGATCTGTGAACAAAGGGTTTTGGTAAGACTGAAGGGACAGGTGTAGCAGACCAGCCATGCTGTCTGGTTTAGTCAGTGTCCACGAGGAAAAGGCAGGAGGCAGATGTGAAGGTTGCAGAGCTCAAGATGTTGAGCTTCTCTTTGAGAGTGACGTGGATGGATCAGGAATGAGTCCACCAGAGTGACTTCTGATGTTAGATGTTTTGGAGATGAAATCAAAGAGGACAGACTGAAATGGTTTGGACATGTCCATATGAGAGACAATGATTACACTGTAGAAGAATGCTGAGGTAGAGCTGCTAGTCAGGAGGCTGAAAGGAAGACCAAAAGGAAATGTATGGATTTGGTGAAAGAGGACATGAAGTTAGCTGGTGTGAAGAGGATGCTGAAGATGGGACTAAAAGGAGACAGATGATTGGCTGTGGAGACCCCTAAAGGGACAAGCCCAAAGAGAAAGGACATTTTTTAAAAAAAATCTCCATTGTATTTATAGTAATTATCTTTAGGGCCACTGAAAAGGAACAGAATTCTGACTTTTTTCTCAGGAGTTTGACTTTAATAATCCTGAGGAAAAAAGTCAAAATTCTGAGAAAAGTCAGAATTCTATTTCTTTCCTTTTTTCCCTTTTCAGTAGCGCTGATCCTCTTCTGTAATAGAATTTGAAAATGATCTCGATAAAGAAACTTAAAATATGTTCATTGTGAATAAAGTTTAAACAGACCTATTGTAGCTGAAAGGTCTGTCATGTGCACACGGCGAAACTTACTTTCTACGGGTAAAAATGTAATGGTGGCATTGATATTTAATTGTGTACGGGTCGACAAATAATCCAACCTAAATTCATATTCATAGATGGATGTGTTTATAAATTACATACAATGGTGGCCTGACATAATTTAGTTGCAGAAAGGGGGCAGACTAGCAGCAACAACGAGACTCCAGGTATCTGCTGCGGGTCTGGCCCAAGCTGCTGCAGCTACCTTCAAATAAACACGGACTTTCCTTCCATCCCACTCTTAGTTTCATGATCAACTTTTTTTTTCCAGTCTCTACTTAATTGTGAACACGCTACCTGCTAGCATTAGCGTTAGCCAACCTGATCATTGATTCAAGCTTCATCCCAAACTTTGGACCATTTCTGCCTTTGCTAGTTTTTGTATTTAATTTCTTCATTTTCAAAGTGTTTAACTGTCAAACAGGGTCATGAAATCTGCTTCCTCACTCTGAAGAACTCCTTGGTGGCGCCGGCGTCTAGAGTTCCGTAGGCGATCTCTGTCTGCTTAGCCAGATCCTCTGCACTCTCTATAGGTGACACCATCCTCTCCACCGTAAGGAAGGCAGCCAAGTTGGCCGTATAGGATGAGATGATGATGAGCGTGAAGAACCACCAGACTCCACCAACAATCCGACCCGACAGAGACCTGAAAACAGGACAATAGTAGTTACGGGATGTCAAATAGACAAGATTTGTTTTGACAACTCATTTAAACAAAGGGGATTGTTTTGTGTAGATGTAGGAACGGAAGCATTAAATACAATCAGTCTTTTTCCTTCACGGTCAAGTTTACCAACAATCAGTAGGGTCAATCTAAAGCCCATGTGGTGCTCACTTCATCCAAGTGACCTACATTGCATCACACCCTTTCTGCACTCACACACTTCATTCCACCAGGCTTGGGGAGCTTAGCGCCAGTCTGCTGAGGGAAGATAACCAGCTCAACAAAGGGCCCACTCAGCCTCCTGCCCGCCAAATTAATCTCACTTTAAGAAAGTTGCCAATATGTTTAAAGGAGCCATGCACATTAATTGTTGGGGATTAATAAGCAGAAGGGAACACTTAACCACTACTCTAATTACACTTTCAAATAAAGTACTAAAATTTTTAAAAACGATGAGTCAAATCCCCTGTCTGTCCTCTCCGAGCATCTCTCCACAAGAAGAAAAGAAAGCCAGCTTGGAGAGCAACAGCAGGAATCGTGTTGCGTTACAGGCTGGTTCCCTCCAACAAACGCCGGGGCAGAGAGTGACGGTGCTGATGCAAAAAAAGGGGCTTTCGTGATGCACCTTTGTACTGTCAAGCCAAATGGGGTGTGAACACAAAGGCGAGATTAAGTCCAGAGCGACAAAACGGAAAAAGCTAAAACATAATCATTTAAGATTCCTTCCAGATGACGGCTGGATGGTGAATGAGCAGAAGCAGAGAGAAAACAGAGTTGTTGGGGAGGCGCTGAAAGCCCTGAAGAGTCGTTTTCTGGGTGTGCGTACGGCTGAAATGGGCAACAGCAAGATTAAGCTTCAACTCTGTAAAGCATTTCCACCTAGTTCTCTAGCAAGTCCTTCACTTAACACAGTTAAAGATTAAATCAATCAGAATGATGCACTCAGTCCTTTTGTCATGCAACAACTTGGTCTTCAAAAGATTCCAAAAGGCAGAAAATTTTGGTGGTGCAGATGCAAACATGGCTTTTTTGGTCGTTTTCTCCCACAGCCGGAAAGGAATAAAGCTTCTATCTGTGTGTGAGCGTGCATGTGTATATAGAGAACTTCATCAAAACATCTAATTAACCAACGTGGAATCTGGATTACACATTCAGAGATTAACTAAAACCGTTAAAATTTACAGATGTTAACATGTGGTGCTATGCTAGCCAAGAGGACACCCGACTGAAGCTGTTAGTTTAAAACAATCCCAGAAACCTCGTCAACTCTCAGTTAGGAGAAAACTAATGCATAGAAATGAGAAAGGTCTTTATTGGCTGTATGTCTGTGAAGGTTCTCAGTCATCCAGGTCATTGTAGTCTAATGAGCTTTGAAAGAAAAGCGTCTGGACTTCTTTGAGTTGCTTGAAGACGTTTCACCTCTCATCCAAGAGGCTTCTTCAGTTCTAAGGTCAAATGGTGGAGAGTCCTAGATTTAAACCCAGTGGGAGTTTCTCCCCGAAGAGGGAACAAAAGACCCCCTGAGCCAAGGTGTGAGGGTGGGTGTGGGTCCTATTCAGCCAGAGTTTCGGGTGAGCTCATTGTGAAACCTGGCCCCACCCTATCATGTGAATTCCTGAGGTCAGATGGCCCAGGATATGCGTGGGCGTTGAGGCATCTGGGAAGGGATCTCAAAACTGGATTATAGATGGCAGACAGTTGGTGTCGTAAACCACCGCCTCTGTTCAAAGATGGTTGCTCACAGTGGACATAAATGGCTTCCTTTACTCCTCTTTCAAACCATCTGTCCTCTCTGTCCAAAATGTGAACGCTGGCATCCTCGAAAGAGTGACCTTTGTCCTTTAGATGCAAATGAACTGCCGAGTCCTGTCCTGTGGAGGTGGCTCTTCTATGTTGTGCTCTGATTGTCCACGAACCACACAAAATACACACATCTTGTGATTTTCAGGATTTGACCAAAAATACTTTAAATTCATGAGATAAAAACTTATGAGGTCAAACCTCAGTCATGCAAGACTCCAGCTGGCACTCAGTCAAGGAATCAAAGCGTAACGATGGGTAGTTAACATCTTACTTATGAACCATAAAATGTGAGATTCCATAGAAATATGAAATATCAATCTGATGGATCTTTGAATATTTTAACCAGAAGATCAGAACTTTTTATTGCAGGGATTAAGCGACACTTCGTATTAACTCCAAGGAAAGAGAGTCAGGTTTATAATAGTTAAGAAATTTATTTCTACACAATTTAAACAAGACTAACTTTAACACTCTGTGTACTGATTGACTAAGGTGGAGTGAGACGTGAGATGATGGTGGTGTGTGTGGGATGTTATTATCAGAACCAGCGGATCCGGAGAAGCCGTTAGTTCTGAGTGGGAGTGAATGTTTCACTCTAAACTTTAGTAGGAGATTGATAACACACATGAAACGCCGTCGGTCGGTCTACGTAACCCAGGGGAAGCCTCCGTTTAGATTCAGAATGTCGAGGTCCTCTTGGACCCTCCTTGGTACCGAAGCCGGTAGAAAAGCAGCGGTGCCGACCAAACTAGTCTTGGAATGCTTCCAGGTCATGACAGGTTATCACTGGCGTCTCCGAGACCCTGAAGGGGTCGTGAGGTTCAGCTTTTATTATGAAGGAACCGTTGTGGTCAGGTGTAACTTGCAACAGATTTTATCCAGCTTGTCGAGGTTCTTTATGGCTGAAGAGGAAGTCCGGTCCAAGACTTCTCTAGAACGCTTGAATTAATGAAAAGGTGCGTGGAATAGTTTTTATAATTGTCATATTTTGGTTTCCTGGCGAATCAGAATTTGACATGCAAAAGAGGGTTAATACAAACACCACAGATAACCACGCCCAGCCAGAAACGAAGGTTCTGATTGGATCAGACAAAAGGAAATGTGTCGTGTGACTTTTAGCATTACTGTGTCATCAGTGTCTAGTGCAAATATCCAGGATTATAATAACTTGTAAAATACTACTGATCACAGGATTATAATATCAAGTAATAACATTGTCATTTCACAGAATAATTAAACATTGGGCTCAAATTTTTATTGGTAATACCAAACGTTGTTGATTATGTGTTTATAAAAATAGTTCTTCGTCTTCGCTGTAACAAAGGTGAAGCAGTTCAGATGAGCAGAGTGCATGAAAGACCTTGGCCACTATTATGTAGATTATCCTGTCAAGAGACTTTATGTCTCTGCTCAAGCACACACACACACACACACACACACACACACACACACACACACACACACACACACACACACACACACACACACACACACACACACACACACACACACACACACACACACACACACACAAAATATTGGTTTCACTGATTGAACATTGAGCTGAGTTTGAACAGTTATAAGTAAAAGTTAAGTACAGGAACTAAATGAAAGGAAGTCACTAAAATAAAAGCAAGAACACTGTAGAACTAATGACATCTCTTTGAGAACAAAGCTCTTGAGGTAAGAAGCAGTTTGTTTGTAGGCAACACAATGAAAGCCAAACAATAAAACATGATGACAGGTCTGTCAGGATGTTGATGCTTCAGAAGAATCCGCCAAAGGGATGATGGGATTAGAAGACAAGGCACTAAAAATATGAAATAAAAATAACTGGGAGGTTAAAGCCATGCTTCAGATACTTTAAGGACGATTCGTACAGAAATGTTACAAAACATCTTGTTATAGCGCTTTATTAAACAGCTACTTGTTAGACACAGTGGATTCAGCTACAAAGTGGATTACTGTTCTCCTAAAACAACACACATCTAAAAAATATCTGTTTGTGCAAATATATTTTAAGAATTTTCATGTGATTTTTCATAGAATCCATCTGTTGGACACGCCGGTGGCACTAGTGTTGTGCAGCCTCGCACTCCAGGGCAGCTGTGGCTACACTGTAGCTCATCAGTATCAGCGTGTGAATGTGTTTGTGGTGGAACCCTTGAAGGCGCTATACAAACACAAGCCATTTACCATTAAGTAAAGTGGAACCTAGCAGCAGATCCTTAGCTATGAGGCAATAACATCAGAATCCTATCAGAATTTTGCCAGAATACTAGTTTAAAGCACACTTAATAACAATAGAATGTTTTATTGAACAATGTTCTCATGAAATGTTGCAAAATGTTGACATTAGAAGTGTGTTCACGATGGCCACTTGGGAACTGTGACCATCTGTTAGCTTGATAATTGGGTCAGAACTGAACTAGAAACTCAACTCAAATAAATTCTGAGATGGATTAAAACACAACATTTTCTTAGCATTATGGTCTGTATTTAATATAGCACCTTCTAGAGTCCTGGAACCCCCCAAGTAGCTTTACAATCAGTCATTCACCCATTCACACACACACACATTCCCACCCTGGTGGTGATGAGCTACATTGCAGCCACAGCTGCCCTGGGGCGCACTGACAAAGGGGAGTCTGCCGTACACAGGCACCACCGGTCCCTCCGACCACCACCAGCAGCAAGATGGGTTAAGTGTCTTGCCCAAGGACACAATGACAGCGACAGACAGAGCGGGGCCCAAACCTGCAACCTTCCGATTTTGGGGCGAGCTCTTAACTCCTGTGCCACTGTCATCCCAATAGAACAACAGAAAATGTGTTTTGGAGAATAAAAATACTCATTCTGGACGTAATGCCCTGGAAAAAAAAGGTAAATATTACTAACAATGCACAAAGCTATCAAACTTACCTTACCAACAAAAAAAAATCCAGCAATATTTCAAAAAAGAATAACTACTGTATTTTTTTAAAAAGATATTAAATAAACTAAAAAACAAAAAGTATTCACAAAAAAAAGGTCACACACTAATGTTTCATTGGAGAACCCTTAGCTTTGTTTATGTCACACAGTCACTGTGGCATTGTTTCCATTAGACAATGCCTTCTGCAGTGTCACCAGATTTATTTCCATCCAGTGTTGCATTCATGTTATCTAGCATTGATGAT